CATGCCAGGGAAACATACCCCAAACCATAACACTGCCCCCACCAGCTTGAAGGGTTGTACTCACGCATGTGGGGTGCATGCTTTCATGCTGTTTCCGCCAAGTTCTCACTCTGCCATCTGCATGATGCAACTGGAAACATGACTCATCGGATCACATGACTTTTTTCCAATGCTTGACTGTCCAATCCTTGTGTTCCTGTGCGAATTGGAGACATTTTATCTTGGTAACTGCAGACAGCAAAGGTGTTTGAACAGCCCTTCAGCTGTTTTGCTGATACTCGCTCCATGGTTACAATCGCCAATAATCATCCCACGTTCAAAGGCTGTTAAATTGCGTTGTTTACCCATATCTTTAAAAAAAAGTCACTTCTACTGTCATGGTAAACAATCTGCTTCCCTATTTATAATGGTCTGGCCCTCTAGCAACTTCAGTGCGAAATTATGACTAATTTGCCTAAAACGTTAGGTGGTCATAATAATCTGGCCACTCAGTGTATATATGGTATTATACTATCTGAGGTTTCAGGTATCCATGGGGTGTCTTGGAACTACTCTCTGTAAATAAGAGGGAACTATTCTCTATAAAAAGTAAATGTTTTAGTATATTAAATTTCAAAAACAATTCAGCCCTTGGCGTGGGTCTGGGTGGGAAGGAATCCAACCTAAATGAATAAGATGTGTTGAAAACATGGAGAATATATTCAACTTTTCCTAAAAATTGCTCTTTATAGAAAAGACCAGTGGCACAATATAGACTCTAAGGATGTTATGGATATTCCTATTTAAAGAAATGCCACAAGTTTCTATGACCTGCCCTATGCCAAAGTACTTGTCTTTTAGAGAAAGATTCATGGGGTAGATTCAAAATCTTTTTTTAAATTACTCATGTGGAGTAGCTGTAAGATACTATGACAGTATAAATTAAATGAATCTTGTGAGTCAGTAATAGAAAATATATGGTCAAATGGCATAATATATGATATTTAAGACATGCTGATTTTGCTGAAGATTTCTTTTTATAATATTTTCACTACAGTTGGGAATTGAAATGTTCTGGTGAAAGAAATGTGATATGTCCTTTACCATTCTCACAGGACATAGGTATTTTAAAGAACACTACATTCTTTGTGGGACTTATGGAATAATTTGTTCTCACTCAAAATTGAATATGTTATCAAAGTTTTATTTGCTTAGTAGTTTTTCACTCAGTTTTATTTTTAGGTGGATTGATGGATTAAATGAAACAAAACTGTGAGGACAGAGATTTATATTTTTGCAAAAGCTATCCCATTTCCCTTAAAAGCAAGACAATTTGAAACAAATGTGGATATGTATTTTTAAACTAATAAGTAGTTAAAATAGTTTATTGTACATGTTATCACATACTTATTTCCTTGGTAATTTTCCTGAAATACTTGGATTTTGTTACATCAAGTGCTCCATTCACCTTTGATTCAGATGCTGCTCTCCGGGAAGATAGAATTTAGTGAAAATTTACAAATGCATAATGAGTTCAAAGTGTTAGTAAGGATGTCAGGTAGATATCCATCATAATGAGAAGTTAATATCTGTATCTGCATTACATTCTAATTGATGGCTCTGTCTGATATTTGAAAAGCGTTAAATTGCTGATGTACATGTGATGGAATGCCTATTGTCAGGCTAGAAATGAAAACTCTGCCTCATCACTGCAGTTGTTTTCTGAGTGATTTGTAGAGAAGTGACTTTGAATGGTCATATTAGAGGTCAGAATTAGAGATTTCACATTTTAGTAGTAACTCCTATGTGTCAAGTCTTCCTTCAACATAAACTATGTTCTGTAATTCAATTTTTGAAAAAGCTTTAGAGAAAGACACTTGAGTCATTAAAATTAGAGGAAAAAATCTAGAAAGCCACAGCGGAACTGTGTTTAAGTAAATTAATCAATAATACATGAACTGAGTGATTAAAGAAATAATATCATAATATCATGTCAAGATAACAGGAATTTATTGATGTTTAAGCCAAACAGGGGAAAAAAAAGAATGACTAGTGCTAAGAAATTGCAGTATTTTATAATGTATGTTTAAATAAGTTGAATTGTGGAATATTCAAAAATTTACCACCAACTTTTCCATCTCACATTTTTATGAAACTGCAGTTACCTTAAGATTAATATATATACTATTATATATGTATGTGTGTGAGTGTACATGAATTTCATGCAACCTCCTCCTCTTCTCTACAATATCTTGCAGAATTATATAATTTCTTCTGCATTATCGAACTAATTTTTATTTCTTTCCAGCAATCTTTGGCAATCCTCCCTTCTCTAATACTAGAAATGTCCCTTCTGACCCATGCAGCATTCAATGGATGTGTTAGGTTCACTGTCTCAATTCTAATGACAACACTTTGAGATTTATATTATTATCACACACATTTCACAGAGGAATACCCTGTGTTGCAAAGACGTTAAACCTTCTGGCCAAGATCACCTTCCCTAGTTTTTCTCTAAATGTCTGGCTCGTGTGCTGCATCTTTAGCCACAGCATACTACTCTGGTCTTTTCAGGTGGTCCACACACTATGCATTCTCATTATTCTGCCTGCTTATAGATTTCCCTCTGCCAGGATGCCCTCCTCTCTTTTGTTATAAGTACCTTAGAGGTCACTTGGGAAATCCTTTCTCAGCTTCTCTATAGAATCAATCATTCCTGATTCTCCCTTCCATTTTGCATATTTTGACTTATTTGTTTATGTATTTGTTTCTCTGGTTGTAGTGTTCCTTGCTTGAGCAATAGGGACCTGTCCCACTACCTGACATGCCTTAGATTTTCATCTTTATTGACTCAACTCTAGGTAAGTGGAAATCCTAGTTCATAGGGTAGTAGATGAGAATCTAGTCAGGATTACAATGTTTATTTTGTAAAGTTTAATATTTAATTATATTTGGACTTTTTTAAACATTCAGGATATTTTAATTCATGAGCTCCTGCCAGCCAGGATTGGCGCTGTGTATACACATAATTCTGTGCATCATGCCACTTCCTTTTATAAAGACCTTGTTTGTATCTTTTTCATTAGAGTTTATTTGTCAACCACTGGCTATTAGGCAATTGGATAATCAGTTGTCAGGTGAGCTCTGTTCTTTATCCACAGTGGAGTACATAGAATACTCATAAAACATAGTGAGGGATCTTAGATTCCAGCTGGGATGACATACCTAATACACGGAAAATTTTGTTGTAAATTCTCTTAATCTGCAACCATAACACACAAGTGGGTTACTGAATACAGACTGAAGACCACTTGTAGTTAATTAGCCTAGTTATCCTAATATCTCTCTGCAGGATACTACAAACTGTCATCCAAGACTGTGTAGGGAGGAAAACCTCCATCTGCCATTTCTGTAGCAAGGTTATGAAACCAAACTCTCCTAGGCCAGCAAAGGGGATTTGTTTGTTTGTTTTTTGGGGGGATAGGTGCCATCCAAGACTTTTATTCAAATTTCAATTAGTGAGGCCAATTCATGTCACTAACTGCATAACTCCATGGAATATCATGGTCTTCTGTGGCAGCCTTAAATTTCTCTAATCCTTTTGATTACTCATGACTATGTGGTATACTGTATCTTTCTTCTTGTATTTCTATAGAGTTGCTATATAGGCAGAGCAATTTCATTTAATAATAGCTTTGTCAATGTAAATCGTTCAGGAGTCTTTTTTTTTCTTTCCCCTTCACCTACCAAACTGCAGTTTTATTGCTTCTGCCCTTGTTTTTTTCTTTTTCTTTTTTTTAAAAATTTTATTTTTTATTACAAAGGGTATTACATATGTGTCCTTTTTTCCCCCCGCACTAGACAGTCCCCTAGCCTCCCCTATTCCCCAGTGTCTTATGTCCATTGGTTATGCTTATATGCATGCATACAAGTCCTTTGGTTGATCTCTTACCCCCCTACCTCCCGCCCCCGAACCCTCCCCGGCCTTCCCGATGCAGTTTGACACTCTGTTTGAGGCAGCTCTGCCTCTGTATCTATTATTGTTCAAAAGTTTATAATGGTCTCAATTATCCATGAATAAGTGAGATCATGTGGTATTTTTCTCTCATTGACTGGCTTATTTCACTTAGCATAATGCTCTCCAGTTCCATCCATGCCGTTGCAAATGGTAAGAGTTCCTTCCTTTTTAGAGCAGCATAGTATTCCATCGTGTAGATGTACCACAGTTTTCTAATCCATTCATCTACTGATGGGCACTTAGGCTGTTTCCAGATCTTAGCTATGGTGAATTGTGCTGCTATGAACATAGGGGTGCATATATCCTTTCTGATTGGTGTTTCTGGTTTCTTGGGATATATTCCTAGAAGTGGGATCACAGGGTCAAATGGGAGTTCCATTTGTAGCTTTTTGAGGAAACTCCATACTGTCTTCCATAGTGGCTGCACCAGTCTGCATTCCCACCAGCAGTGCACAAGTGTTCCTTTTTCTCCACATCCTCTCCAGCACTTGTCGTTTGTTGATTTGTTGATGATAGCCAGTCTGACAGGTGTGAGATGGTACCTCATTGTTGTTTTGATTTGCATCTCTCGGATGATTAGTGACTTTGAGCATGTTTTCATACCTTGTTTTTTTCTTAATAATGATTTTGAAAATGAGTAAGCATAAATATTTCCTTCATTGAATACATTACACTCAATGCAACTGTGCATTGTGACTTATTCTCTTGAGCTTCAAAGGTAAATTTGTACATGTGTATGTGTGTGTGTGTATTTTGTGTTCTCATAAGTTTTTCTACCAAGTACCATATACTTTTATTTTTAATACAATATCTTCTTTTCCTACAGTAACATCGATAGCAAAACATGGTTAACTTATATGTGATTTTTCCATGGGGGCAATGCATTTCTGTGGATAATCACTAAAATTTTATGGACACATCATACAGTTTATTGTTTTATTTTTACCTTGGGGTTTTTCTTTATTATTTATTTTAAGAAGCAATATCTTTCTTGTTTTCACAGGTAAGAAGATGGCCTATCAAAAAGTCAATGCAGATCAAAGAGCTCCAGGGCATTCACAGTACTTGGACAATGATGACCTTCAAGCCACTGCCCTTGACTTAGAGTGGGACATGGAAAAGGAACTGGAGGAGCCTGGTTTTGACCAGTTTCACCTAGATAGTGCAGAGAATCAGAACCTGGAGAGTTCAGAGACTGCAGACCTCAATCTTGATTCCATTCAACCAGCAACTTCACCCAAAGGCAGGTTTCAGCGACTTCAAGAAGAGTCTGACTATGCTACCCGCTATACAAGATCTGCACCAAAGAGCAACCACTGCACCTTTTGCCGCCTTTTAAAAATACTTTGTACAGCCATCATTTTGTTTATTTTTGGAATTTTGATAGGCTATTATGCACATAAAAATTGCCCTTCAGATGCCACATCTTCAGGAACACTTGATCATCAGTTATATCAAGAGATTCTCAAGACAATCCAAGCAGAAGATATTAAGAAGACTTTCAGGTAGGAAAAAAAGAAATGGATGTTGGTGGGGATGCATTTTCTGGAAAGACGTTTTAGGGAGTACTGAACAGGTGATTTTGCCATGGTGTAAGATTAACCTTGTAAGATGAGAGATATAACTTACTGGGACATTCTTCACAGAAGGGGGTCTACATTTTCAGACTTATGATATTGTAATATAAATTAATGATGCTGCTTTATTAATTGATAATAACAATTGTGAGTACTATGAAGACTAACAGACTTAAGCCAGTGCATTTTTCCATCTTGGGAAGTCCAGGTATGCCAAATTGAGATGCAAAGACTCATGTAATAAAAACTAAGGTGTTAACTATATGATTGAATTTTAACAACCCCAGAATAAAATAAACCTGCTTTTTGGGGCAGAAGTAACTGCCTCTTATGGTCAGGAGCACTGGTAGTATTTGGCCTTCTACATCCCTGAGCTTTCCAATGAGCACATTTTTATTGAAACACATTGGGTTCAGGCAATTCCAAAAACTCATCTTCCTCTTTAAGGTAAGTTGCCATTTGACTTGTCTTGCCATAATGTGTTGATTATGGCTATGTAATCTCTATACTGGATCCCATCATAGGAATTAGTTTTATTTAAATTGTAGAGATGGATTTTTCCCCTCTGTAAGGGGGAAACCCCTATTTCCATCAGACCAACTAATGGCAGCAAGAACCCTGAATTAATGGCTACCCAATCCTGCCAAAGAGTCCAAAATCTTAGAACTCTACTTGTTAGCATCTACTGTATTGTTATGATCCTTCTTAAACTGACCTAAAATGAGGAACTCTCTGTTTCAGCTATCTAGAAATAAAACAATAATTTTCTCCAAGTTTAATTAAATCTGTGCTCAGTTGCCCTACTTTAATATTCTTTGTCATAAGAAAGTAAACAGCCCTGCCCTAACCGGTTTGGCTCAGTGGATAGAGTATCAGCCTGTGGACACAATGGTTGGTCCCAGGTTCGATTTCAGTCAAGGGCATGTACCTTGGTTGCAGGCTCAATCCCCAGTGAGGGTTGTGCAGGAGGCAGCTGATTGATGTGTCTCTCTCATCGATGTTTCTAACTCTCTATCCCTCTCCCTTCCTCTCTGTAAAAATCAATAAAATATATTTTTTTAAAAGAAAGTAAACAGTCCTGTTGCTTCTCTCCCCTGTTCTTTGAACTCAGACACTAGATTTGTTTGCTTGTTATAGTATCATTGTCTATCCTGTGCTAACAGCATCTTTATTCTTCTCACCCCTCCCTTTCCACATCTATCACTCGTTTACTTCCTTCTATTCAAGAACCATGATACCCCTTTTACCAAGGAGTAAAAGTTCCCATTCAAGAAAGCTGACAACTGCATGTTCTTTCCTGTCTTCATGAGAGAAAAGCCAGCCTAAAGAAAAGCTAGCTGTGGAGTTCATGGAAGACCCATGGACTGCTTTATGGTTATGATAACAGTAGAAAGACTCCTTTAAATAAGTGATTTTTCTTTCCTCAGATACCACACCAATATATTTTTGCTGTTATCTTTTTGTGCAGATGCAAGTCTTGATGGTGATACCATTGGCAACTGTTCTCCAGTCTCCAGCTATACTTTGTCACCATTTCTGTTCTTCCTCTGCCTTATATATATATATATATATTTTTATTTCTGTCTTGTTTTCCCTTCATATTTTTTATTTCTCTTTGATTTCAGTAATAAAGGGATTGAGAGCAGGAAGGTTGGGATAAATGAAGAGGGCAATGAAACAACTGGCATTTTAATAGGAGAAAAAGATGTAAATAGATAGCAAAACTGTACATAATTTGATATACGCAAATGATAACAGAATGAATTTAACAGTAATGGAGTGATGGTTCCTATAGGAAGTTTTACCTATTCTATTATTGATCTATCCAGATAACAAGTGAACATTGTCGTAAATTTAATTACAAAAGAAATACATAGGATAAGATTTATTTAATTATGCATAGTATTTTCTTGCTCTAGATTTTAGATATAGCAACTCCTTCACTTAGGATATCTCAGTGTTATGCAGAATGACATTAATTCTCTCAACTGACTGGATCAACTCACTGATGAGAAGTTACTCTCTTTCAATCCTTAAGCATTTGGTCAGAGCCATAGTAGCACCCACTAATAGGATGAATGATGATTAATTATAGAAGGATCTTTAAATATAATGACCTTCTCAATCCTGACATCCTATGGAATAAAGAGGTGATATGCAAATTGAATGTCACACCCTTCCAAAAGATGGCCACCCCCATGGGGACACAAGATGGCCACCACAAGATGGCTGGCAGGGGAGGGCAGTTGGGGGTGACCAGGCCTGTAGGGGAGGGCGGTTGGAGGTGACCAGGCCGGCATGGGAGGTAAGTTGGAGGCAATTGGGCCAGCAGGGGAGGGTAGTTGGAGGCAATCGGGCTGGCAGGGGAGCAGGTAGGCATCCATCAGGCTGACAAGGGAGTGGTTAGGGCAGTGGTTCTCAACCTTCTGGCCCTTTAAATATAATTCCTCATGTTGTGACCCAACCATAAAATTATTTTCATTGCTACTTCATCACTGTAATGTTGCTACTGTGAATCATAATGTAAATATCTGATATACAGGATGGTCTTAGGTGACCCCTATGAAAGGGTCGTTTGACCGCCAAAGGGGTCGTGACTCACAGGTTGAGAACCGCTGGGTTAGGGGGTGATCAGGCTAGCAGACAGGCGAGTGGTTGGGAGCCAGCAGTCCTGGATTGTGAGAGGGATGTCCAACTGCCGGTTTAGGCCTGAAACCAGCAGTCGGACATCCCCCGAGGGATCCCAGATTGGAGAGGGTGCAGGCTGGGCTGAGGGACACTCCCTGCCCAGTGCATGAATTTCATGTGCCAGGCCTCTAGTGTTCAGATACTATGCATCCTCTGAGGCCTGGTTCAGGTGCTAATTTCATGATGCTCTCTGATCTCTCACCAGTTGAGTTCTCTCACTCTTAGCTTGCAACTCTCAGTACTTTGTTTTCTCTCTTTTTGTTGGCATGAATCACTGTCTACTTGCAGTAGAGAAAGAAGACTATCAGTCTGACATACTAGTAGTACTTGAGTGATGGTATGCAGACACCCAGTAAATGTTTACTGCAGGATAGAACGAGCCCAGAATACAGACCTTTTTGATAAAACCTTCACTTCCATGCACATTATCCTTTGTTTGTTTATTCTTATAGCAAAGGTGGAAATTTATTGAGAAACAAGCACAAGACTCCCACGTGGGGAGGAGGAAAAGATTCCCACAGCACAGACTCCCACGTGGGGAAGGGAAAAGAGTCCCTTATCATTTATTTTAAAAGAATGTTCACATGGTCCCCAATTTACAATGGTCTGACTTAGAATTTTTTTTTTTTGTCTTTGTGATGATACAAGTAGAAAGCATGCTTTAAATTTTGAATATATAGCTAGCCTTTTCCCAGACTAGCTATATATGGCACAGTACTCTTCCATGGTCCTGGGCAGTGACAGTGAGATGATTTTGCTCAACTGTAACCTAATGTAAGTGTTCTTAGTGTGTTTAATGTAGGTTAAGCTAACCTATGATGCTCAGCAGGTTAGGTGTATTAAATGCATTTTATATTTACAATATTTTAACTATACAGCGGGTTTATCTGCATGTAACCTCATTGTTAATCTAGGAGCGTCTGTATACTCTAGTTGTTAATCTGTATTATTGAACTTTGAAATTAAAGTCATATATATGATTTTTGGAACATATTTTATCTACATTCTCATAGTGTGTACTAAAAAGTTGTTTTAAAAGGTAAAGGATTTTCTTTTCTCTGTGTAAACATGGGCTGACTATCTACTATATTCAAGTTTTTAATAATATTCTGTATAATCTATATGGCATTCTCTTTCTATAAAGAAAAAATGGAAAGTAAAAAGGTATCTCCATGATCATAAGCATTTGGAGATAAAAAGTAAATCCCTCACAGTTCTGCTTAAGCCCTACTATTTCAGGACATTGTTTCAGTCTCAGTCTAGCTCTGCTGAAGGCTTGCTTTCTTCCTGCTCAATTTCAGGTAAATTCAAAGAATGCTCTATCTCTCTCTATTCTCTCCTCCTTCCCGACCCCTCCAACCCCACAGTCATACACATACAAATTATTTTATCCTGAAGGTTACATGCTAAAGTTAGGTTTCATAATTTCCTAGTAAGCACATTTCTTTTCGTGTTATAAAATCATTTTCACAGAAAGCATCAGGGTTAAGTTGTTAAGGATCAAAATGCAGGAATCTTTAGTTTTTCTAATTTGGTTTTTGTTGAATTCTTAGTGGGAGAAATATATTGTACATAATTAGAAGACTCCTTTGCAGTGACTATGTCCTATAGTCAATGAAATATTTCCATCAAATATACCAAGGTTAGCTGTGCTTACCAGCTGCCTATCCTGAAAAAAATATTCAACTTAAGGCTTGTCACATTTTTCTTACATCTTTTGCTGCATTGACTATAACATGCTTTTTCGTCCATTCATTTCTTGATCTTATTCATTCCAAAAAAGGAACAAGATCAGTCAGATGTAGTACAAGATGAAAACAAACCTTTTTCTTTGAGCATCAAGTATGTCAGTTTCCTGTGGATTCATTTGACGTTCCAGCACTCTTTCTATAGAAAAGTAGGTAATGTTCACATTAAGTAAAGTATAACTTAAACGTGGAAAGGTTGGGGCCTGATTACACACTACTCTCATGTTTCTTTCAGTACCAATAAAATCAAGATTTAAATGGCTCACATGACCTTTTGAGATTTGCAATTTGAAAATCTCAACCCATGTCTTAGACATTAAGCAATATATTTGAATATTGCAGTTTAAAGTATTGATTTCATAATATCATACAGCAGTTTACAGGGGAAATTAAAATACATGTGGAAAATGATTAAGCGATATTTATCAAACGACATTAAGTACTTTATTACAGTCACTTGAAATGGATGTTTTTAGGGGATAGGAAGGGAGT